TTAATTCAAGACAGATAGCACAAAGAATGGGCATGGACTGCAATCCCTTAACCCTTTTTGCGGCAATTCTATGTGTTAGCAGCTTCTCCTTTCGATGCTATTGCGGTCATGCGAATGTAAGCCTGTCTCTTTCTTTCCTTTTTCAATCAAGACGAACGTGTCCCGTGGGTCCTGTGGATTTAAGGGGTCTCACATAAATCTACCTGCACCCATCTTCCAACGTCCATCGCCGATGCATTAATGATTCAGAGGTTTGGTGCAATCTTCACCTCCTAATTATTCCTCCCATTATGATGCGGTTGTCCAGTCTCATCTTATGTGCACTGTTTCTCAACCACTTAATTTCAAGATTTTACCTCTTTTCCTCAATGGATCGGTTGCCATTTGGATCGATTCGTCGATCATGCGATTGAATGTAGCGTTTGTGGTTTGAAGGTTGATATGCCGGACTTCTAATTTCGGGAGACTAGTATATGGATCATCAATGGACTTCGTATGAATAAGCAAGTTCCCTATTTTGAGAAAAGAAGATTGTTATTGTTACAGTTGATTTTCAACTTTATTTTACAGAAAACTTCATGATAAGGAAAAATATTTTTCATTAAAATCGTATCTAAAGAAAATAATTAATTTTCATTTGTTTGGTAGTTTATGGAAAGTGATTTCCTTCTTACTAGAAAGGAAAGTTATTTTCCCCAATTTAAGGTTGTTGTTCTCAGTCCATTGAAAACGTTTTCCATAGATCGATTATTAGTTTCCCTCGTCCAAACAATTTCCTAGAAACTGTTTTCTTTCAAACAACGGGACCCTTAGCTATACATAGAAAGTTAAGAATTGTTGGGTTCAACAAGTCGAGTGCGTAAAGTCGATTATGTAAACGTGTTGAGAGTTTGATGAGTCAAGTGTATGGCGAAAAAACACGATTGAGCTTTCGCATCTAGTTAAGAAGGCTTAATTGAATGACGAGAGGAGATTTAGTACCTAATTGGGTTTTTGTACGTGAGCTTTTCAGCTAATCAAAAGAGATCCAGTACCTAATCGGATTGCAGTTGATTTTCAGCTTTAGTTATGGATAGTGAAAATTCTCAGGGTCCTGTTAAGTCGAGTGCGTTCATGCGCAGATGCGAGAGCTCGATAAGGTTGGGTGTACGAGGAAGGAACTTGGCCTGAGATTTGCTCTCATCTGGTCACAAGATTGGACCACGATGAAGTGCTGTTTATGGTCTGGATCAGACAACTTTGAGAATGGACATTACCTTTTTGCCAGTGGTATTCTGATTTTGTGTGGATCGAATGTGGAGCGAGGCATGAGATTTTGGGCCTTTTGAGGAAGACCTCTTAAGCTCAGGAACAACATGGTCCATCTGGCTACGTTCTTGGGTCCAACATTAGCTTTTCATACTTGCACCTTTTCTGCGATACGAATTGTCGATTTGGCAACGAGATGGATCGACCCGATTTACCATTTCATGTGGAAATCTTGAATGTTTCGATGAATCGAACAGTCCTCCAGATCCCCGACATTATTCGATGGTACTCTTCCTAACTTTGATGTCTATAATAATCTTTTAAACAATACAATCCCTTTGTTTTTCGTTTTTGCCCTATATTACTATAGCTTGTGGCTTTTCAAGACCACTAGCACATCAGACCAAGAATCTCTTATAATAAGTCAATATAGCGTACGTATGATATTGTCGAAATAGGAACAAATCTAACAGTTGTATTCAATCATCCCGTTTATATCGGAATCAAATTATTTCTTCTGTTGGAATTTAATTACTCATCATTCCTCGTATTTTGCAATCGAGGCACCAATATCGGAAGATATTGCTCTTAAATGGGAAGTTTTTGTGAAAAAAGTTCCTAACAATGCATGTCGAAAGGGATGAATTTGCATTTTTTTTTGCAAAATCGGGGCCTAAGCATAATTTCAAAAAATTAGGTGGCCGGGGTCCCTTCCCGCCAACATTTGTCAGCACGATTCAACTAATATAATAATCATGTAATTCATATTTATAACTAGAATTTACGATAACTACGCAATTGAAATACTTAGTGTGCGTTTGTTTCACGGAAAATGTAACGTTTTTGGAAAATGTTTTCTGGAAAATTGTTAATTTTCCTTTGTTTGATGATATGTGATCGAGAACATTTTCTGGTGTTTGGATCTCATTTGGAAAATGATTTCAATCCCATGATTTTATCTTAGGAAAAAAAATCGAATTTTTAAATATTTTTTTAAAATAAAAAATAAAAAAGAAAAGAAAAGAAAAGAAAAGAAAGAAAAGAATAAAATATTAAAAAAGTAAAGGGAAGCAATTTCGGAAAGTGTTTTCACCTTTTTAGATTAGGGAATTAACTTTTCTAATTTTATATATGAATATTTTCCCTGACCGGAAAGTGTTTTCGATTGACTAATCATGTTTGGCGAACCAAACAAGTGAAAGTCCAGGAAACGGATTCCTGGAAAACACTTTCCCTGAAACAAACACACCCTTATTATCTATTACATTAGAAAGAGACCAGACTTGTGTTCGTGTGAGGAAAAAAGAGAGCATACATTTGGGTGGAGAGAGAGAAAGTTTTTAAAAAAAATCGAATTAGTTTAGGGAATAAATTTAAATAATTATAAAGCGAGAGAGTTTTATATTAATTTTTGAAAAGTAAATTTTTGTGAGAAAGTTATTTTACGATAGAATAAATTAAAAATATAAACATTGAAATTTATGGGGAGATGGATGAAATTATTAATTGACACATCTGTCCAAGTATATAATATTTTGTGAACGAGCAATCGAGGATATTTAGGAGAAGAAAAAATAATTATACTCCTTCAAAGTAATAGGTGCCCCTTACTTTATATAATAGCATGGATATAAAAAGAGTGTATTTATTCGCGTATTTCGTGAGAAACTTTAGACGAATCTTGTACTTACTATAATTTCTAATATTCGGAATCGAATGAATAGCTATTATTATTATTTTTGGTAAGAAATAAGGGCAAAGCCCTAGAGTTACACCATTACTCCTAATAAAGGTTTGATCCTATCCAACCACCCATCAACAAAGGAAAGCAAACGTCCGGCAACCTTTTCAGTGCCAGGATATCATTTACATCAAATGATTAAAGCATCTAATTTGCTAACTAATCTGTACCCGAGTTTTCTTCCCCAAGAGTATGTACCATTTTTGAAAAATAAATGCTTTCGATTTATGAATTACTCGCAATCTTTGCCTCGTCCCTTAATAGAAAACTTTCCAAGAATTCGCTTGTCGAGTCGAGTCGAAGAGGTTGCCAAATGGTAAAAATGCAAATGCATATTACCATTTGCGTACAGAAGGGGCAAGTTTTGCTTGAAAAGGAAGTTGATTGGGACATTGCCCAGATTTTTATTTCCATTTTCGCCCCCCTCCCCGGGGTTCAAAAAAGGAAAGAAGCCAAAGCATGGGGTCTTCTAGGGAAATTAGCACGATCTCCGAGGGCATTATGGTAATTAGACCAAGGGCGACCCGTAGATTCACCCACGGACACAAGATTCACCTTCCACGTCCGACCAGATTACGCCCGAAACTCCGCATCGAAAGTCAAAAGAGGACAAAACCCAGAAACATTTGACCTAACAAAAAAAAATATTAAAAAAAGAAATTTGCAAATCCTCAGAGCGTGGGCCCCACGCCCGTCTCTTCTCTCTAAAACTTGCATTATCCGTTTTTGACCATTTTTCCATGTAGTTAATGACGCGAGATTTCTTACTTGAAAACTGTCGAATGCAAATTCACACCACGCGAGACCTTTTTATTAAAGTAATTTATTGTTTTTTTAACTTTTGGGCGATTTGTAATAAATTCGCATTGCAAATGGTTCGGATCGAGTCATTAATCATAAGTATTCATTTTTATTACATGCTGTTTATACTGGATTCTCGTATCCCGTTAATTTGGTAACTTAGGCTATTTATGATTCTATGTAATCCGGTCAAACTTTATTGGGGGAAAGTACATCATAAGCCTTAAATCTATACACAAATTGCAGTTAAATCCTACACTGTTTTGGCTTATGCAATTGAATCCTAAATATGTTTGAAATATGCAATCAAGTCCGGGGCCAATATTGAAAGATTGTGACCCAAAGAATGTCATGTTGGTCATTTCGAGCACCACAAAAGCACTTTCGAATTGTTCGCCGGAATGAATGGAGTGAACTTTTTCGAAGAGTCTTAGAATTCGGTCATATCAATGGGGAGATTCAAGACTCGTTGATTCCACGGGCTTTTTATTTGAATTTATGTGAGGGTCAAATTAGACGTGACTTTGTTGCATTCATTCTACGTTACCAAGATAATCAATGAATTCATCGATATTGATTCAATAAATGGCGGTGCGATTGATTGGTGACGTCACTAGACAGATTGGATCCTAGTCCGAGGACAAAAAAGGATTCATAATCAATACCGACAGCAAAAATCACGCGACTTTAATGATTATTCCGTGCTGAGTGGATGATTCCGTACAACAATGAAGCTAGTGACGGAAACTAACTAAAATATCACCGATCATTTTCTTTGCTTAGAAAGTCAGGTGGCCCTGTATTTCGTACGAGCGTCCGTAAAAACAGAAACATCTTTTTGTAGAATTTCATCGGTTCAGCTACGAAGGCGACAGTATGAGCTCATACTGCTGGATCAATGGCTCTGATGTCTCTTCCTTTTACTTTCTTCTTTTGAAGTGCTTGATTGACTTGTAATATGATCAAGGATTTTTCTTACAAAGAGTTCCAAAGGGTACGTGACGTCATTTGGAATGCTTCCGACGTGGGGGGTTCGGAAAAAAGTAAAATTGGTTTCAACGGTGGGGGTGGAGAGAAGAAGAACGAAGAATCCATGTCCTTGCATGCAAAAAAAAACGGGTCAATTTCAGTTTCCGAAAATGCCCCTGATCCGCCACTGCCTATAAAGACGGTAGTCCTCCCAAGTCCCAAAGTGTTCTTTCGTACTGCACCCAGAAAAATTTAAGAGAACCGAAACCATCTCTCCCCTTCTCTCTCTCTCTCTCCTGAATTTAGGAGGCAACGGCAGGCTCATTGATTCGGAGGCCCGTTGCTAGATAGCGAGAAGATGACCGAGATCTGACCCTTTGCAGTTCTCTAGAATTCTCTGTCGACGAAACGCCAGTTTTTTGGTCGCTGCTCCGGTGTCCCTGAGGATTCTTCTGCGTCCCCTGGTAATCGTCTTTGCTTCGACCCGTTTCAGATAGCGTTGCTACGATCGTGTTTGCCGTTTGTCCGGTGCTGCCTTTTTTTCTTTTTTTTTCCTGGGGTGTTCAGTGGCGTCAATCTTGAATCTGCCAAAGCGGAGGTGATCGCCTTTTGATCTTGTTTTCTTTTTTGTCATGCTTCTGTCATGGTTTTTCCGTCGTTCTAGTGTCTGATCTGTCGTTTGATCTTGCATGCATGTTTGATTTGGTAATTCAGAACGACGTGATGCGCCTGTTTCATTTCTTGCTTTTTCTCGATCATGGTTTTGCGAGCGCTTGTCTTGATAGAAGATGAAGCTGGCCCAGATTCTTTGTTCTTTTTCTCTTTGGGTTCGGATATCGACATGCAGAGATATATCGCATACATTTTAATGGAGCTCGTTTTGCGCTTTGTTTCTTCCCTTGATCGTGCTTAAATTTTGGTATCTTTAGGCGTTGTTCTTGCGAATGATCCTCGGAGCCGGTACCCGATCCAGCGCTGTTGGGAATTGCTTAGGAGATTCATTTCTTGGGTGTTTTTGATCAAAAGATCTGGGTCTACTATTCGTTTTTTTTTTACTTAGGTTTTTAATCTTAAGAATAATGGCTGCCGAAATGAATTTTCATATCTGACATTCTTGTGGACTTGAGATGGCTAACCCCGAAATGAAAAGAGAAAGAATGGTAACAGAATTATGTGGTTGGAAGTGGCTTGATGACTGTTTATTTGATTTCTGTCTTTTGCTCTGCACACAGGATTTTTAATTGCTGCAGTAGCAAACATGGCTATCGAAGTCAATGGATTTGAGATGGTACCGCCACCTGCGGAGGCTTTAGCTGAGGCGGAGAGGTCTTTGCCGTGTAAGAACGAGAATGGGAAGCTGGAACATGGATTGATCCCTAAGGTGGACATTAAGTTCGGTTCTCATGGAGATGGATCGGCAAACAGCGAAGCAAATAAAGTTTCCGATGCCACCTTCCCCAAGGATGCTGCTGATGAATGGCCGGCACCGAATAAGATTCACTGCTTTTATATTGCTAAGTGCAGGTCGCACGGTGATCCCCAGATGAAAGTCAAAATTGACCTGGCTGATAGGGAGATTCAACGGATGAATCAAGCCAGGTTCCAGATCACCGACAAACTGAGAGCAAAGAGGGTAAGTTTAAAAGCTTACGGCTTTTTAAGTACCAGTCATTTGAACTAGAATGGTTTCCTTTCCTTGTTTAGGATACTTCATGTCGTTGCGATTATGGTAGCAAGATAGTCAAACCTCTGGGTTGAGGCCTTGACGGCTTGTTGTTCTTCTTATCTAGGGCCTGGATATGAAAGGCCAATGACAATCTATTGGTAGGGGTCGTTCCTGTTGGTTAGCATGAATGTAGGAGATCCAATCCATTACGATTAGAAGAGAATTTCGATCGCTTTTGAGGCCACCAGAGTTTCGAGGACAAAACACGCCCGAATTACACTTCTAAGAAAACGACAGTCATTGATGGTTTACTTTGCTAGGGTTGAGTACGTTAGTTGAGAACTGAACAGACTTCATGCATTTATTGTTGCCTTAACATTAAGCATATTAGAATGTGACCTGCCGAAGGGTACGTGCGGGTTAAATTCGGATGTAAACATTTTTCATTGTTTGTCATTTGAGAAAAAAGGTTATGTCACGCTGCAAAAGCTGCTTATTCATAATAAACTTTGACCATGAATGTTGAGTAATTTAAATAAGCATTGCTAGCACATAATTACTAACCAATTGTGTATTGTACCGCTTGCTCGAAAAGGCTTGCTCTGGCGGTGGGTGACATTCATGTTACGAAGCAAAATCGTTGCTTTAATGCCTTATGTAGGAGAGTTCTTGAATCAAAGATGCCTTGCAGTTGAAATCAGTCTTATGCCAAATGTAGTGCACGTCAACTTTACTGGTTGCTTCAAAACTTTAGTTTGGTTAAGCATACCTTCCGGCTAGATTAGTCTGCTTAGGGAAAAATAGATTAATCTTTTATATGGTGACTGTTGCTTTGACCACCATGAAAGGGCCATTTGGTCGATTTAGCTCGATAAGGCATTAAAAGCTTGTTTAGATGGTTCAGGCTTTAGCGTACCCCTTCTTGGTTTCAGGGGATGATTCTTACAAATTTTCGTGCAAAACTCTTAAGCTTGACTTTTACTAAAACAGAATGGTAAGAGTGAATCATAATAAGTTGTACACCTGTATTTCACAAATTCATCAATATATTGGCATCGTTCAGATCTATTTTCACCCAGAAATTGCACAAGCTCATAAATTTCAGGGGAGCGGTTTCTCCTTATGGTTAATTGATTTTTGACTGGGCTTTTGATGCCAAACATCAAAATACGCAGAAAATGCGAAGTTCTGTCACCCCCTTGGTCCCCCAACCCGCCCCACTCCTCTCCACCATCACACTTAGTGCAATCAATTTGGTAGCATTTTTCGATTGTCAATGTTTTCTTCATATGCAGTCGGAGCGAGCAGACATAATCACTCAGCTGAAAGCTTTGGGCGGTGAGAACAAGCAGTTTAACATGATTGCTGAAGAAAAGAGGAAGGAAATGGAACCATTGCACGATGCTCTAGGCAAGCTACGCAATGGGAACCATGCTGGTTGTGGAAGTGGCATGTGCTCATCAGAAGAAGAACTTAATGAGCTCGTAAGTTGGTAGTTTAAGCATATAGACCACCTTCTATATCGTCCTTATTTATTTAAATACCATATTAGCCTTTCATTTTAATTTACAATTTATTGGTTGCTACTGGTTCTTGCAGATCCGGAACTTGAACTACCGCATACAGCACGAGAGCATCCCATTGGCAGAAGAGAAGCAACTTCTACGGGACATAAAACAGCTTGAGGGCACACGGGAGAAGGTTATTGCAAATGCTGCTCTGAGGGCTGATGTGCAGGGTAAATATGGTCAGCGAGAAGAGATTCAGGACCAGGTTAAAGTAAGAAGTGTGCACTTTCAAAACCAGCTTGACACACCCTTGTTCTTTATAATTTGATACACGAAGGTAATAATGAAATTATATAATCATAGTAACATTATTTTATTGTAGCTTATGGGAGTTGGCTTGGATGGAGTGAGGAAGGATCAGCAGGCAGTTAAGGGAAAAATTAAGAATCTCAGGGAAGAATTGGAGGGTATAGAGAATGATATAAGGTCTTTGCAAGATGATTTGTCACTTACCATTCAGAAGAGGGACAAAGCATATGAAAACCTGCAGGAGCTGAGGAAACGGCGTGATGAGGCGGTATGTTTTTTAGATACGCACATAGCACAGGCCTTTCTTTGATTGCTTCTACATGGATTGCCAACTTTGGAGCTTAGTTTTCGAGTCATCTGTCTGTGAATAAAGCTAATGTGTGGTCAGTCTTGGGCGGAAGAATGTTATTTACTAGGTTTTTTTTTTATTTTATTTAGCAGGTTTCGTGGTCTTCGATCAGCATACTTAGAAATAGTTTGCTAGAAAATTCTGTGTATGGTGGTATCAACTATATTCTTTAGATGATACTAAATAACTTTCTAGCATTTAAAATTCAAGCTTTTGGATGCTGCACTGTCATTTTGCGCTTAGAATTAATGCCTAGCTACTTCATATTTGATGCCTGAACAAATATACACTCTTTCTTTGACGATTTTTTAACCAAATCATAAATTCATTCATCGAGACCTCTTCTATGAACCCATTCATTTCTGAAATTCTAACATGATTTTTGCTGTTCCTTAATATAGCCACAACTCCAAAAAACAACTTTCCTTCAAAACTACGTATCTAATTCCAGCTCACTTTTTTGTGTCCCGCATCAGCCAGGATACATGAACAAGTGAAAGTTAACTAGTTGGGTCGATAGTAAATTGCTACTTACATGTTTCCAACCACAAACTCGATAAGCTCCCGAGTTTTTATAGATTGAGTGTAATTTTGATCTTTCATGGTAGTTTGAGAAACTGACCTGGTAATTTTTCCTGCTGCTTAAAGGAAATGGACTGCGACATATGTTTCATTAAAGGAGCATTAAGTTGAGAGATACGACACTTTCTCCTGTAGACGACGGTCGTAACATTTTACTTTCCATTCTGTTTCAGAATGCCCCCTTTTACCAAAATCGTGCGATTTTGAACATTGCAAGAGACCTTGCTGCAAAGAAGGATATTAGTGCTCTGGAGGAGCTGTCGTTGAATGAGGTTTGTGATCCTTAATTCTTAAATGAATATAGATTGCATGTCATGCGGTCATTCTTAGCTTTAACCCTTCGCTTCCTTATCAGGTTGAGAAGTTTTTCTCCCTCTGGAACGACAGCAAGAGTTTCAGAGACGATTACCTCAAAAGAGTATTGCCATCATTGGATGCCCGACAGTTGGGCAGAGACGGAAGAATTAGGAATCCCAATGAGAAGCCACTAGCAGTCGCCGAGGAATCAACAAAGGTATCCAAAAAAGAGAAAATTATGAAAACTGAAGTGAAACATCCAAAAGAAGATTCCAAACCACCTCCGCAAGACAATGTCGCTGCCGCCAAGAATAACCAGAAAGAAGCTGTTAAGATAGCGGGTGATTCAGCTGCCACACTGGAACTTAAGGTCTCAAAGTTCAAAGAGGACACTGAGGACTTTGTTTTGGTAAAACCGGAGCAGGAGGCTCCGAAAGTTACTGAAGTCGACAAAGAGAAGCTGAAGGAGATGAAGAGGCAGGATCAAATCGAAAAGCAGAAGCAGGCTCTAGAAAGGAAGAAAAAGCTGGCAGAGAAAAATGCAGTGAAAGCGGCAATTAAAGCTCAAAAGGAGGCTGAGAAGAAGCTCAAGGTAATCATCTGATATTTCCTTTTTACTAGAAATGGCCACTTTCATTAAATCCCTTAATATAGTTTTTACACATTACGGGAAAGTTTGACACGAGAAAACTACCTTTTCCCATTTCGCAGCAGAATGTTGAAGCTTAACATGTTATCTTTGGATGCCTAATAAATTTCCCAGTTCTTTACAGACTTTCGTACTAGCTTCGAAACTGACGAGCTCTTTTTTTATTGTGAAAAATTATTTCTTCAGGATCGTGAAAAGAAGGAAAAGAAGAAAGTGATGGCATGGAATCCTGATGAGGAGGAACTGACTGAGGAGGCTGCCGAAGTGGAGAAGGTTGGGAAAGCTCCTGAGGCTCCGGCCCCTGCAAAGGAGAAGGTTCAAAAGAAAAGTACCTACAGGGTGAAAACTCGAACGAAAGGAGTCGAATCAGTTCCAAAGGCCATCCTCAGGCGTAGGAGGACACAGGCCTACTGGATGTGGGCTGTTCCTGCTGCTGTTTTGGGAGCTCTGGTGGCCCTAGCTTATGCATATTACTCTCTTCCCTGAGGAAGAAGAGGAGGTAGAACCGCTGGACGATGAGGCCTAGCAAACGGGTAGTTTTGCCTATAGAAGCTTTAACTTTCAGGTAACTTAGTTCTTTCAGTCCCAACAAGGAATGGGACTTGAAACTCATAATGCTTTTAGAAACTCAGTTTGGGATAGGACCTCTAGATAGCGGGCAGAGTAGATTTGCGGGTTATAGTTGTTCGAATTTTGACTGTTCGGATATTCTGGAATTTTTCTCTTAATACAGTACTCTTGCTCTCAAATTTTATGAGTTCTCTTTCTGCGGGATGTGTGTGTGGGGGCTTGGCGATTGATACTTTGATTGCTCATCCCTGAAAGGTGAAATAGGTAAGTATGCAGTACTACTCATCCTTCTACAGTACTACTAATCATTGGGTGATGTATGTCAACTAGCGCTCGTCCGGCTAAGCACGGTCGAAATGCTTAAACGGATAATGGATGTTTCCACGACAGTATACCTCGTTCTGGATCGGAACTGGATCATTTTGGCCTAAAACTCTTATGTCGGACTCTCAGCCTCAGATTTACCATCAGCATCTAAACTTGAGAAGTTGTCTGGAGTTTCACATTTCTGGTTGATATAACGCACCAAACACGTTTTTTTCCCAGTATTGCTTGTGCAATGTATCATGCTCCTTCTATCATCCTATCTAGGCTCAGAAGCACTTTAGTTTTGCATGACGTCTCGGTTCATTCAAGTCGAATCGTCGCTTGCCTGTGCAATTTGCACCTAGCCGCTTGCTAGGAGTACCTCCCAAGCGCGAAGCACATACCGCATGCACGGATCGTCCTCCACGAACACTCGTCCGGTCATGCTATGCATGCACAATGATGTGGCGCGGCCATTTTTAATCCGGATTGACAGGTCGAAGACCTGAGAAAGCTATGGACAACTCGAAACCGAGTGTCAAGAAGGTGATCGATACATCAGTGCCCGACGTCACATTTTGTTAAGCTGGCGCATATATTTCCCATCAACAAGAAGAGGAGATTTTACCCCTAATCGTATACAATATTGCCATTGTGATTGTGATTTCCCCCCCCTTAAATATGCAATATTTACATCAATGCCGTTCTTACCGAGCAAATATTTCTGGAAATTTGCGAATGATAGTGAATAGTAAGAATCATGAACCGAAAAACAGAAATCTTAGTCATTGATGTCTCCTTCTGTCCGAAGAAAATAAATATAAATGACGTGTCCTTCCTCCACACATTTCTTTATATTCTCTTTTAATTAATATTTTAATCTTTATTTACTCGTCACATGAGATTAGTATTTCGGGAAAAGAGAAACTAATCTCATATAGCATGTGGATGCATTAAGATACACAATTTATTTAACGTGATTCTTGAACTTTACTTCACCGTGTAATATTATCCTTGAACTTTTAATTTGTTCAATGTGGCCTTTAAACTTTTGTTACGTGTTCAATTTAGTTTCTAAAATATATGAAGATGTTCATGTTCAAGTTTAGAGCCAATACCGAATATTTTCATATAGTACTAATTGAATATGTATAAAAAGTTCAGGGATCACATTGAACAATTTAAAAGCTCAGAGATCACATTTCACATTGGGCTATAGTTCATGGATCACATTGAACAAATTAAAAGTTCACAGATCACATTGAACAATTTAAAAGTTCAAGAATCACGTTGCACATTGGGCTATAGTTCATGAACGACACTAACAAATTAAAAGTTGATGAACCACATTGTATATATCGGGTATAAGTTCAAGGGCCATTTACGTTATTTTCCCTATAAAAGATATTCGACCCGAATCATGTAATAATCTTCTTGTATTAAGATGAAATACTTGAGATAAGGCCAACAGGCTAAGCAAATATTTTTTTTTATTTTCCTTTATTTGTGTTTTTTCCGGTATGGAAAGGCTAAAAAGCAGGAGCAGAACAAAATGTCGGATTCTTCAAACTCGTTGGAAGTCATGGCTCTCACCAGCGGCAAAGCGCAGTGGATTGCGCGAAGAGCAATCCAAGCCTTGTCGCATTCTCACCCTCGTCCTCAACCTCGCGCAACCTGTTTCCGTCGCCTCTCTTACCCTCCGACCCGTCGCCGCTTCTCACCTCTCCTTTCGCCTCATGGCCATTCAGGTACCTCTGGCTCTGGCTCTGCTTCTCCACACGTTTTTTGGCCTATCTTGCGAGCGAATGTCTGTGAAAGATGCGATTTTTTGAGGAAACGGGCAACGAAATTACCCGAGTGCTTTGTGGGTGTCGAGATGATAGTTGTGAATTAAAACTTTGACCGAAGCTGCGGGAGTGAATTTACTGGTGGCAACGGTAGAGGGTGTTGTTAATTATCCAAAGAAACGTGGGATTTTGCCGCAGGGAGGGCTCTGTTGGTTTCTTGATTTTGGTTGATGATTCTGGTTAATCTAAATGGTGCAGGGGAATTGTTTGATGAGAAGAACACTTGAAGTTGTGTTAAATGTGTATGCCCACCCTAGTGAAAGAAGTTAAATGAGCGGTCGGAGTAGTTGTGCGACATGTTTGCGTTGTTTTTTTGTTTGCAATGAAAGAATGAATGGCGAAGGTTGTGTGTGGGATACTGAATATGGTCTCTACTCTTGATGCTTGGGCTCCTTTGACACCGCCTGAAATTGAAGCTCACTTGCTTGGTTGGTTAATATTGGCTTGCCATTGCTTTCGAGGAAGTTTCTTGAATACCATTAACATGTTGAAAAAGAAACAATCTAGCAACGGGTACTTTAGAGTGTAGAGGCATCTACAGAAGAAAGAAGTTAAAAGGATATAGCTTGATGTTACTATCCTTTGCTGCTGGTTGGATTAAATGGTTTTCGTTTGCTAATTACAGTGTAGATATAAAGATTTGCGTTTGCCACTTCATGTTTAGAAAACTTTTTCTTTGAGGTTTCCTTGATGGTACTGCTATTGGGTGGCTGCACCTACCTGCAGCAATTTGAGCTTTTTATCCGATCCCCTTAGAGGAATTTTACTGACAAACCATCACCATAACTAGGGAAAAGGTATTTGGGTTTTCTTTCTTGCAATGGCAATTCGGGACAAAAGCCAACAGATGTCCCTTTTGAGTATGTAGGCATTTGATCAGTCATGGATGCTATCCTTTTGGCAATAATGACAACAATAAAGTTTTAGTGCATCAATTGCGACTCTTATTTCTCATTGTCATTATTTTTTTTTTGGGCACGTTTGTTTGCAGTTAAGCAAAAGCAAGAAATACCGTTCGTTTTTGCCTTCCCGCTAAATTTTTAAATATTATTCAAATTTCAGAATATTATAAAAAAAATTATATGTAAATTTACGTGCCAGCATTCGAGTATTGTGAAATTTTTTAGAAATTTCGGATTTAAAGAAAAGTCAAAGTGCGTAAGCTGCAAGATATTTTTTTTTAATTTCGGTACAACCAAAAGAATTTAGATTAAGCAAAAAACAAAAAAATAGAAGTCATTCCATGCGTGCCCTTAATATTTTGCTTTTGCAATGCCCTGATGGCAATCTACTGCTTTCTATACTATTTGACCAAGCTTTATATTATTGCATTAAAGCTTCACAAATGTGTCACCTGGCACAAGCTGTAAAGAGAAACGAGGATGATTTACTTAAAGGACTGAGGGACAAGAATGTCATCGAAGAAGTGAAGCACATTCTTGAAATGGTACTTCTCAGAAATGATTCAATTTAATATGCGTTCCTTCTCTTCATCTTCCTCCCTACTTTAGTAATGTTAAGATCTTTGATTTTTATTGTCAAGAACGAACTTCATTGCAAAAAAGGTTCTGAAATGTCCTTCATGTAGGCAAAAAGGGCATCATCAAGAAATATAGTTTTGCACACCGATTTTCTCACCCCTCCAGTGCAGAATGAGTCTATGCTTCTCTTGGAAAAGCTTGCTGACATCAAAGCCGTATCTCAAGGAGGATATCCACAGGTTAATCACTTTAATATGTGTATAGCTTGTGTTTTTCTTAAAGGTCTATATCTAAAAATTGATTTACTCTCCGTCTGTGAGCTCGATTCTGCATCTTTCCTTCATGGACTCTGTGACCCAATAACTTTGTATACTTTACAAGGCACCCAGGCTGAGCGATGCAGGATTTCCATCGGGCATATTGAGACTTTGTCCAGTGAACCCGATATAGTTGCAGCAGTAAGGTAGGAAGTGCATGCAAGTATATTGCTCCCTATTTTCACCTTTATCTGATTTTAAAGTGTTTGTCATTTCTGGATGAATACTTCTCCAGTATCACAGGGAATTTTTCATTTGACTCGTGTTCTCATGGAGACGTCCTTGGTGCAATTCTTGGGACAGGAATTGCGAGGGAAAAACTTGGAGATATTCTCTTGCGGGTAAATGAGGCTTTATAAACAAGGAAACCATTAATTCTGGTATATACTATTTGAACATATTGGTGTTTCCATCGCGGAAGTACATGGAACCTGTTTAAATACATCAGGCTGTCTCTACCTCTACACTGTGCTTTCTTATATGTGTGGAAGTTTGGTTAGTAGTTTTCCCATTGCTGCCAACGACTTCCTATGAATATACCATTGTCATCACCATTGGTTCTTCATTTGCTGTCTTGAAGATAGATGATTTATTATTGTATCCAAGGTGTCTCAGATGTGGATTATCTTGTAGCCTCTCTACTGGAAGAAGATCTTATTAAATTTGCATCTTCTTTTCATGCAATGTATTCATCCTTTGCTAAAATTGGTGATTGAAGGGAGAAAGAGGGGCTCAAATCCTCATTGTTCCTGAACTTGTGGACTTTATCATGGCAACTCTGGATAAGGTAGCAAAGACTTTTTACACACAAAGCAGTTTCCATTGCCATTTTACCTTTTCTCCTCTGGCATAACTTCAACATCTTGACATTCATGCTATATCTGAATTATGATGAGTATCAACTTGATAATTTTCGTGCCTTTTACTTTGGCTGATACAACCGGGTATCATCCTGCTCTTTTGCGAGATTCCTCTGATGAGTTACTGAAAATAGACATCCATCGACTCTTATTTCCTTTTCTGGTTGTTCCAAGGCAAATTGCTTTAAAATAACTGTAATCAGGATTAATTTACACCATATCAAAAGTAACTGAAAGATGATTTCATCCAATGGGCAGCACTGTGGAGTTGAGATTCTTGAGATATATGAATTGCATAAATATGTTATATACACCATGAACATTCCAACCGATCCAGTGGATAGAGACATTACTCATACTAACTTCTTGCAGGTTGGTAATGTTCCAGTCTCTTGCACAAGGATACCACTGCTCGCCCTTGAATATGAATCCCCAAGGTTGATTCTCTCTGTCTGTGTGTCTGTGCACACACTGCTTGCTGTTTTGCATGCTTGTGGATGTCGTACTTGCAGAGCTGCTCATAGCCTGAATGTTTGTTTGCAGGACCAAGTCATTCAGATCTGTGGAAGCATCGTTAAGGGTTGATGCTCTGGCTAGTGCAGGATTTAAGATGTCTCGGTCAAAGCTAGCTACTTTAATCAGGTATAACTTTCAGATCCATTCTCTCATACTGCACTGTCCAGGCCTGCACTGGACATGATGCTGTGCTACTGAGCACAGATAGGAGCCTGATGTTTACATTGCTATTAGGCGGACTGCCAATTCTTTCATCATTATTCAGAGACTGAAATTGCAATTTAACCTTTCTGCTTTATTTTTTCCTCGCAAGAGTCATACCACAGAATTGAGCGTTTCTAAGTGGCCAATGCGTCTTGCATTCTGTTTATTTTCTCTGGCTTTTAAAGACCCCCCTTCTCTCTCTCTGTCTCTGTCTCTCTCTCACGCACACGCGTGCAGACATGCAAGCACATGCTCATGCACCCCTCGAAGGAACAAATTTGGGGGAAATTTCTTGCCTTCACATTGCAGCTGATATTGCATTAGGTTCAGCTAACTCTGTTGCTTCACCTATTTGAAATTGGTTTGAAGATGAACTGTAGAATGTTAAAAGCTATGTGGATTAAATCATTTGATTTCATCAGTACGTAGGAAGTTACATGGCTGGTTTAAAGATACAGTGTAACCAGTCACAAACTTAGCTTTGTTTTGGTTATCTAGTTGCCTACGTGACGTTTGCAGCCAAGAGATGGCTAGTTTTTATACTGTCTGATAGAGATGAGGATTGCTTTTATCTAATTGGCCAGCGGTAGGATGCAGTAACGCTTTTGTTCTATGCAGTAATGGTGATGTGCGTGTTAATTGGACAACCGTAACAAAAAACGGAACTACACTCAAGAGTGGGGATATTGTCTCTGTTAGTGGTCAAGGGAGATTAAAGGTATGTAAAGTAAACGACATATGCTAGTTCAGCGAATCCTATTATAGTCCTTCACGAGACATTTTGGTCTTCTAAATTTTTCTTGTGCAGATAGGGGAAATCATCACAACAAGAAAAGGTAAATTTGCAGTGGAGCTCATTCGATACCTGTAAACTTCAACAACATCGACGTTATCATTGTCGGCAAGTTGTCTTTCAGAAAAGTGGATCCTTTTTCTCATATCTTTACATCATCCTTGCTTGGGAGTTGAAACTGTTCTCGCAGAGGATTAAAAAAATCATCCATCGAGTACACCTGAGATTTCGAGTTTCGGGTATCTGTTGAGTGTTGATGGAGTAACATTGGTTGATGGTATATGTTAGACATTTGGAAAAGTTTCATTGGTGGCGATGACTATTTTCGATGGAGAACTTTTCCAATTCAATTCAGATGCTTTTCGTATATTCAGAGGCAATTGTTGCTCTTCGGTAGGAGCTTATGGCATACCTAAATTTCCTTTCCATCATTTTGTCTGATAGTATCTTTTGATATGTGCCGACATAATCTCTAGGGCTTATCAGTTTCACGTACATGTCAGGTTTTTGAGAGTCACTAGGCTAACAAGCCTAGTAGTTACCATGTCCCAAGCAATATTTTCAAAGCCATATGGACAATCGAACCGGATTTCTAAGTCAGTACAGGGTTGAATCAGCTGAAACTGGTCGAAAAATAGGTTCGATACTCAGTTCGTCTGGCCAGGGGTATGCCTAGCACACACGAGCTGTGAAAATGTGAAGGTTGCTGAGAATTAGGCCCCCAAACCAGCAATAAGATTGCGAATGTGTACGCATGATGTACATTCCGCGTTAGCAATTTTTCGAGTCACGATTGCATGTATCTAGCGCATGTTGGGGGACCGACTCAGAGGCTTCAATAGTTTAAGTGGATTCCCAGTGTATATACTTAGTTAACCCAATGGTTTTTTCATTGCTTATCAAGAGTTCTAACTGTTGAAAATGCGTGAGAAAATGCAAATATAGAACGCTACTTAAAAGTACAAGGCTCTCACTCTCAGTTAAGACAATTGGGGTTGATGCAAAGGAACATAAATCAGGAGGAGCAACACACTCTGCTTGATTAATGCAAATCCCAGAGCGGGATTCACGTAACTAGCATCATCTCCTTCATTTCTTTCCCGCGTCTGAAGTTTTCTTCTCAAATTTTTGTTCTGCTCCTGAACTATAGTGAGAAGGAACGCTGCACAAACAATAAAAAACGCCCATGAATCCCTCACTTGCAGGTGAAGAGGTACGAGAGACAGGGAGAGTGAATGGGCAGTAGAGAGTTCTGATGAGTCCCACATTGGCAGCGAGAACAGGGAGACGAGCAGGACGTCACTTTAAGGTGCGAGGGATGAAGCCGGAACGAAGCATACCTTTCTCGGCCTTTTGGCTAAGATCAAGTGTAGTATCTGTTCTTATCAGTTTAATATCTGATACGTGGGCAATAGGTCCACACGATATTAAATTAATTTTTCTTGGGGGATTGGCCCGCTACAGCAGCTTACTGCTGGGGCCTCTCGCGCGTCGCCTTGGCGTTGCACTACTGCCTCGGCCCGGCGCACCCCACCAATTTAAGTCCAAAAGGTTTTATTGCTAGTGAGTGGGGAAAGGCCCGGATCCAATTTGGACCCAACTTGAGGCTGCAGGGTGAAGGAGGCCCGGTACCGATATTGGTCTCTTCCGATTGGATTCCAGAATTATGTAAGGCCTTTTTGTTAGCGGAATTTGGACGTCCGGAACTGAAATGCGCCACCTTTCCGTCCAGCACCATGTTTGACCTCCACCATCATCGTATCCGTACGGTCGCAAGCGAGATGTGTTGGAGCTCTCTACTAGTGCCGCGAGCGTGTGGCCGCGGCGAGCACAAAGCTGTGAGATCACGGCCAGCGCAGGCGCGGTTCGGTTCGGTTCAGATTTCGCCACCTTTCTGCTGGACCGATTCTCTTGTGATTTCGTCTTTTTGTGTAAGAGCATTCTTCGCGTTTCAAATGAGCAAGGATTTGTCCTGCGGTTTTAGGGGTGCATCTTTTCTGAGAGAGCCTAGTAAAACCCACCGGCCACACAAATTGGGTTTTGAACGTGTTGTTAAGGAGCTCGTAGCACAAAGGCAGTATGTACTTTTTTTTTTTAGTCTGAAACGCAGTATGTAATTTCAGCAGCAACAACATAATCATTAAAAAAGTTTATCGTATCAATTTTACTCCTTTGCATCGATTGGTGTTGCAGTCGTTTAACATTTCCTAGGATCTGCAATTTTTTTCCGATCAGTATGTCTCTCCCTTGCATGGTGTCGTGGCAAGAACGATACTCAAAATAGTACTTCAATGAAACATTTTGCGTCCCAAAATATGACGTGGAAATTCGATCTGATTACTGTAATTCATTTAAGGACTCAGCTATTTGGTTGTTCATATGAAAATCCACAACTTTTAACTTCGCGCCACCCTTAGTAAGTGGAGCCCCTGTTTTGGCAAGCTAAGCCCTTTAACCATTTTGTTTTTATTTTTCTGTTCCAGAAGTAAGTTTAGAACATCAATCCGTTTGGTAACGCAATTTCATTTTTTAATTTCTGGAATAAATTTTGATTTTAAAAATAGGTTTGAAACATAAATGAGAAATTCTTTTCATCGCTCGCCCTCACTACAATCCGGCCACCCGCCCACCGCCCATCGCCGCCCACTTGCTGCCGCTACCTCCCGCCGTTCGCCGTCTCCCGCCGCTGGCCGCCGTGGGTAGCCATTTGATGGCAGCTGTCTCCTGCCATCGACCGCCCGCCCTCCTCCCGCTGCCACCCACTGTGGGCCGCCGCTCGCCGTCCGTCGGCCACCGTCTCTCACCGCCAGCCGCCCTCCTCCCGCCGCCTCCCACTGTGGGCCACCGTCCGTCGTCCCTCGGCCACCGTCTCCCGCCGCTAGCCCCCCTCCTCTAGCCATTGCACTCCTCCTGCCGGCGCTTGCCTCCCGCCTCTGCCATCCTCCCGCCGCCGCCCGCCGTCCGTCGGCCACCATCTCCTGCCCTCGGCCGGCCGCCTTCTGTCGCCCCCATCCCGCAGCCGGTCGTCCCCCGCTTCCTGCTATTGCTTGACACCGGCCGCCTCCAACCACCGTCCTCCGCACTGGCCGCATTGCCGTCCGCCGCTGCCTCCCCCCATCGTCCGCAGCCCGCCATTCGTTGCCAACGTCCGCCCTCCTCCCGCCGCCGCACCCCTCCCACTGTCGGCAATTGCCCGCCTCCTGTCGCTGCCCGACACCGTCCTCTGCACTGGCCGCGTTGCCGTCCGCCGTCGCCTCCCCCCGCTGTTCGCTGCCACCATCCACCGCCCGCCGTCTGCAGCCGCCATCCGTCTGCTCGCCGGTCACTCGGGAGAGAAAAATTTTGTACCGTTATCAAACAAATTTTTGTTTCAGAAACAGAAATTTTGTGTCATTATCAAACGTGTTTTTTTCTCAGAAACTCGTCCAGGAACATAAATAGAAAAATCTATTTCTAGCAAGAAATTGATTTCTGAAATAGAAAAGTTGTCATTCGCGGCCTAAACATTCAAGGGTCTCGAAACCTTATCAGGGCCTTAGTACCTTTTTTTTTTTTTTTTCTAATGATATGAAGATATGATCATAATTAACCAATTATTTGAAAGGAAACTAGCACAATAATCCACCGTCATAGCTTCCACTAAAATTTGAATTCGTCAGGACAAGATTCGAACCCATGACATCTGTTCTCGAGCTGGAAAACATGGGAACTCACCCGCCACTGGGTAAATCTCAAGGTGGTAAGGCCCAACACTTTGGACGAGCCCCGAGCTAGATTTTACTCAGACTTACTTGCTCCATTGTTGTATTGTTATGCAACCTTTTATGTGTACTAAAAATTCAGTTTTGCACACGCAGAGAAGAAACATATAAAATCCTTAATTTTGTATGTAATATATATCTGGAAGATAAGTACTAGGCATGTTACACGCGCAATGTGTTATTTACGTAACATATCCTTGAAGCAACATATCATGTTTGTAGAGTGATTCCTCCAACATAAAATTACAGAAAAATTAAATGTCGGATTCTCCCTAAATGTCGGGTTCTTCCTAAATGTCAATTTCCTATTCTCTTGATATAACATGTAAGCGACTAACACCTCTCACTTGCAATCGTAACTGGTCAAGATATGTGTGTGTGTGTGTGTGTGTGTGTGTGAGAGAGAGAGAGAGAGAGAGAGAGAGAGAGAGAGAGAGAGAGAGAGAGAGAGAGAGAGAGAGAGAGAGAGAGAGAGAGAGCACGAATGAAACTGGAAAATCTGAGCACCACACTGGCACACAAGATGTACGTACCTTTAGGAAACATATCTCAGCATTATTATTACAATGTAAAGCTTCTTGATTTTCTCTGGTGGTGAAAGTAATGGAATTGACAATGTATATGGAAACACCTCAAACTCTGAACCTTCTTACAAATGCAGACTAAGTACTTAATCAACCCTCTCATTCATACCTAAGCCTACACTTTCCATGCTCAAGTATCTCCGAAACCTCGACCTCCATCACGTCCCTGTCGGTCGAAGCTAGGGCCTGGTTAAGCGTAGCCGCACGTCCCATATTGGCATTTCAGCCCTGGCGAGCACTTGTTGTCGCACTTGCCGCAGTTGTCCGCGCTGTACGCGATGTTAATGCACGTCCCGGTGCAGCACAGCTCTCCGAGCTTGCACTTCTGGCCGCAGGCGCCACAGTTGTTCCGGTCCCCTAGAACGTTGCGGCAATGGGTCTTGCAGCAATACAGGAGGCTCGTCCCGTTGTTCGCCGAGATCCCGTTGCAGACGTTGTCATTGACGGGATCGCAATGCGTGCCCTTCTTGATGACGCTTGCCAAGAACCGGCTTCTGGAGCGGAGGTTGGGCAGCGGCTCGTCGAGCACGTAGAAGCTGTCCTCGTCCTCAGTGGCGTCAGTCCAGAGCGCGGCATGAGGTTGGGAGAAGATGAGGAGTAGAGGGAGAGTTAGAGAGAGTATGGTGGCGAGGTTGATGAGAACTGAAGCCATTTCTCTCTCGCTTCTGTGCCCTACAAGAGTGCGAGCTAAGGGAGTTCACGGATGCTTTAAACTGTGAGCTTCCCTCATAAAATATTAGGGGATGCATGAGCAGGGAATGAGATCAACATTTCTTTTTCAATTAATTAATCGAGATCTAGTTAAGTTGAACTAAGTTTAGAGAAGATTTATTGGCTTGAGCTCTAGATTCTCGGCATATTACTTATTATATTCATGTACGCCTGACAATTTGCATGAATTATGCGGCAATTAAATGTACCAAATCAACACCCCCACGACCTGTAGATGCCAAGTAAAATCCAGAGGTAAAGATTGTCTCGCCTTCTGTCAAAGGAAACAACTATTCGT